ATTTTACTCGCATCGGCAAATTTGATAATTTTATCTCAAATGATTATGTAGGCAGGTGCTTATAGCGATAAATGTAATTATAGAATTATAAATATTATGCAATATTGTAAACACTGTAAAAACTATTCGTTTTAATAAATATGAATAATTTTATTGATTATTACACCAATATTAATTTTATCTCAACTGACTGTACATAATTTTATAATTATAATTTTATCTCAATAATTTTGTTTCAACTGTTCATATACATTACAAGGAAGCCCGGAATTTTCACACGGTTGCAGTGCAAAATTTGCCCATTCTCGGACGATACGTGCTGTAGAGTGACCGCACAATGACCACTGCTCAGCTCTGTCTCAATTTACTTGGCATGGCCGATGATTTGTCGTTGCACGTTAATGCATCTTCGCATCGCCAAGTGACCACTCCTGATGGTAAATGGATTGTAAAGAAATTCCCTTCATAATTCACTCTCCACGAAAGGCAGGAGTAAAGTCAGTGTGAATGGCTCTGTATTTACAAAGCCCACTGCCTTATTCCGACATCTGAGAGGCCTCATGAGAGCTAATCGGAAGAGAGATCGGCTAGCCAGATGGGAGACATTACCACAAGGTGAAAACACTTGGAAGTTAACCCAGACGATAGCATGTGCCAAATGCGACCACACGTTGGCAAAAGCCACTGATGGATCTCTCTTTTGAGAGTTGCTTATAAGCAAGCTGATGGCGGTTTTGACTGCATGCACTTATACTCTCGCATGTTGTTGTACTAATTTCCATTGGAATGAATGGATAACCCGTAGAAATACTGGTTGCCCTGGTTGCGGAGCCGAACCCTAAATCTGCAGAACGAGAGTAATACCACTTGCCACTGCGCCATGCCCGTCAGCTGCTCCTGTTGAAAGTGCACAAAAACGAATGCCGCAGACGTAGAAAGAAAGCATGAAGGAGTGCTCATGACAGATAGCAAAACACAGGAGAGAATTCGTGATCCAGAGATACGAGCCAGCTGACACGGCCAGTGGCGCAACGTGCACTTAAGCCCGTTTATTTCATGTTGGGGGAATAAAGA